AGGCTTTATATCAACAAACACATACTACATGACAAAGTTCTGTGTTTAAAGATCACTCTGAAGTGAAATAACGATTTCCTACTGTCAGTAGGGTCTCACAAGACTAGTTTAGAAGTTTAAATGCCATGAAAACCTGTGTTCTCAGTCAGCTTTTAAGCATTAAATGCTGAATAAATAATAACTCATGTTAAAGTTTGTTTCCAAACTTTTAACACTACCAGATCAACTGAAGGAGGAGTCTACGAAACCAGACAGGATCCCAGGTGCAGCCTGTGCAAAGAGGCCTCAGAGACAGTCCAACACATAGTGGCAGATGTAAAACAGGCAGGAACAGCAGCCAACTCATCCTAGTCCAAATGAATTAAAGCACCAATATGTAAATTGGCCGTTTGCCTTCCCCTACAGTCGCTGAGTGAAACTGAGTTGTATCCAGCTATCCTACATACCAGTTTCGACTGAACTGGGAAAGAAAATGTCAGAAGCCAAAGAATGTTTACATAATATTACAGGACTTTATACAAATATGACTCTGCATAGGTTGATTTCTTGTGACATGAAAGATGAACACAGAATAGCAGCAGGTTTTTTTTTAGCTTTACCAAAACACTGCTTGTGTTTTCAGAGAGTTTGCTAAGAATTTGAATATGGATGTGTGTAATGGAATGAAACGTTTTTGGTGATATACTGTATGCTCATATTGCACACAGTCTACATTGGACAGTGTAATTTATTACAAGCTATAGCTGAGATGGGTTTGTTAGGCTGCAAACTTCAAAGGCTTATTTGGTGCGATAACGACTGACCAAACCTTTCTGGCGTGAGATGAATTTATTTATTTGGAGGACTGAGGTAGATGAGTCTTTACAACTGTGAGAAAGGGCGATGGCATCGACATGGTTACAGCCTACAAAACATCAACACTCTCTGTCAACACAGTTTACTATCCCATTAAGGTGGTTGTTCAAAATCAATCGTGCTTGGTAGAACAAAGACACATTTATGTTTGCTGTCAATCGACAATAAAACATTAATTAAAAAGTGAGCAACTGAACAATAGTTGTCTCCAACACTGCACTGAAGACTTCCCACTATAACTCACCTTAAGGCTCTGGTGTTAATCAGTGTGACTTCAGTTATAAAAACTGAAGCAGCCCTCTCCTTACACTATCTCCTCCGTGCCCTCTAGGAAATATTTCTTGCACGTTTATTTAAATTTCATAAGAGCACATCAAAATAAAAAATGCAACAGCCTTGTGATGTCAGTGAACTTAAATATTTATACATAAAGAATTTAGTATGTTCAGATAGGAGCAAAATTCTATTCACTTAAATGGTGATCCCTCAAAAATGAATATAGAGAAATTTATTGTATATGTGAGATATAAAATTGTGGATTTCTCTTTGTATACAGCTTTTGCTCTGCTTTGATTAATTGTTTCAATTAGCATCCCACATTATTACATTGTCTTAACATTGTAGGGACTGTTACTTATTAAGTACTGGCCAGTAAAGTAGCAGTGAGTTGAAAAAGCTTCAAACCTGAAACATTTGCTTGACCTTCCTGCGTGGCAGATTGACATTCAGCTTGTGGAGGAGTTGGTAGATCTCGTCAATGTTCAGCAGACCATCTCCGTTTTTATCAGCTTCTTCAAACGTCTGCTTCATCCACGTCCACACTTACACTAAGGAAAATAAGAGACTCTTTGTGTGGACAGCCATTTGTGCAACTCAACTGCCTGAATTATTTCAAGTCTATGTTATCTTTAGGACTATTGTTCATATTTAATGCTGTACTGTAATGTCCATGCACAAACACCTTTGACTCCAAACCTATAAAAACTTTTATTCTGGGATGATCCACACATCAAGATGTGTCTAACCAGTGGATTACAGGTGGATGAAACCAAAAATAAAACACTGATTTGTCACCTACAAGCTGTAGTAGTACTGCATTTTCTGCATTTGCTTTGAGTATGTTTGGGTGAGTGAGGTTTATTCTTCAATGAAAACCTTGTAATCCACATTCTGGATTTTCTTTAGTGCTTTCCTCTGAGCTGAGGAAAAATGAGAACACAACAGGAACACAAAATTCGTTTCCTTTCTATAAATGTGGAGGGCGCATGACAAAGTGTAGTGTTTCACCTGACAAAGGTGATTGGTATGTAGCTCATTTCTTAAAGGATATTGGTCATGTGTGCGCTGCCGTTTGGCTAGCGAGTCCTCATCACTGATCCCGGCCATCAGGTAGCGAAGGCCAGTTATCCAGGTCCTGGCTTCTTCCGCATTTGACGTCACCAGGTCAAGGGACTCCATGTGGTTTCCATGGTACACCGTGAAGCAGCAGGCCGGGTCAAAGTTTCCTTCTGCATGTCGATGAAAGATGTCTGATTGACCACCCTCTGTCACTTTGTATAGCGAATCAATGCTGACTAAAGGAGGAGGGAGGAAGTGGGATGAAAAGAAAGATAAAAGAGCAGTTTGATTATTTGTAGCACCTAAAGATGAATTGCATTTTAATGGCAAGCTAATCATTCCTATCTTAACTTACCACTGAATTACAACCTAAAGCTAAGCAGATCTGATGAAATAATCATTTAAAATATAAAAGGATAAAAATAATTACACTTTTAGTTATGTTCCTTTAGCCACAACAAGGAGCTAATTTTAGGCTTTAGTGCCACAGCAATCCAATTTCTTTACAAAAAGGTTCCACACAGTAAAACATGATATCAAACTGATACTCAGCAAAGCTTAAAACGAAATGAAAAAAAGGGTAAACAGCAAAACTCTGTATTGCTTTTTGACAAGCCCCAGTGTTATGCAAGCTCCTAACTTTCAGGTGCAGAAATACACAGAAAGTAATTCCAGTATAGCCTTTAATGAGCATCACAGTCTAACGACACCGGAGTACAAACGCAACTGTTTTTGATTCTGGGTCTTTGTTAAAAAAGACAAACGGCAGTAAACAATGTCCTGTTACATATTTACACTCTGCCTCTTCACTTCCTCCTCGTTCTCCTTCTGTCTCACTGTATTTATCTCAGGCACGATTCTGCAACATGCTTCTAAAAGGTGTGTCATCCAAATAAAACAATCATTAGTGACTAATGTGTTTTCCTCAAAACAATGAGTCTTTATGTTCTGGGGACATCATTACGTTTAATTAATAGCATGACTGAAAATGATATAATTTTTTTCAGTTAATTGCCTTTTCAACCACAAAAAATATAGTTTGTCATGATCCATTCCAAAATTACCCATGTCCACTTCCCCATTACGCTCAGTTTTCTATTCCCTTTACATAATCTTATCTCTGAAATTCTGCTGTGACTCAAAGTAACAATACAGCAGCCATATTTAGATCCCGCTCAGTCAGGCTCAGCACACAGAGCGTACATTCAATGAAGGAACCGAGCAGCTGTTGTGTCTTTCACTTAATCATGACAGTGGAGAGGCTCTACAACACTTATTTACTGTAATGACAGTCTACACACACACACACACACGCTCTCATTTATACAGGTCCATAGACAGATGCTTGCTTCAGTGGGTTGATACATAAAACCAATAAACTAACTAAGTGACAATGTTGCACTGAGGGGACAATGAAATATATAATGATCATCCCCTCAGAGCCAGAGCAGTGTGACTGAGTCTGACTCTGGGCATTCATTGAACATTCTAGAAGAAAAGTCATAAAGGAGATTAAGATTTTTTTTTAATGATTATTAAAGATTAAATTAAATACTTTATTCTGCTTATGATGATAGTGCACACAACAGAGTAATTCTTGACCTCTGGGAATATGGCAAAATCTCTTCAACAAAGTCCAACAGGACAAAAACGAACCATCAAACATTCAGAAAGGTTTCTATGCGGATTATATGTATAACCACATTAACTGGAGGTACGAACAAACTGAGTGCATCTTAAATAGTCCTCACTGTAAATCAGGGGTGTCAAACTCAATCGCACAGGGGGCCAAAACTCAAAGCACACATTAGGCCGCGGGCCGAACAGGATAAACATTTATTGAACAAACTAAAACTAAACGTTTTTTGAACATAAATATGAATTGAAACAGACAGGATACAATATTATTCCAAAATAAATAAACTTGAACTTAAAATCAGCAGCCGTATTTCTGCTAAGCCTTACATTTACAAACACCTGCTTTTTGTCTGGACACAAGACGTCACACACTTTCATCATGCAGCTCTTCAGAAACTCTCCCTCGGTAAAT